TGGTGTGGGAAGAGGAGTGTGGGTGTGGGAGAGGTGTGGTGGGCAGCAACCGGAGTGAACGGAGGCGGCGGGGGCGTGGGCTGTCAAATCTGCGAGAAGACGTGTAGAAGTGTAGAAGCGTAGCCGCCGGACAGATGACATCAACTACAGCTCGGCCAATCACAGGCCGCGGGACTGTCCGCACTTACAGTAGTTCCGCCGCATTCATAGAAAACTTGCGTGTAGCAGTCCTACAGCAGTGTAGAGAGAATTCACACAGCGTATAGTAGTAAACATAAACAACAGTAGACCCACGAGGCCGCGTTGGCTACACAACAAGAAGAGTCCATGTTTTGAAAATTGAAAAAGATTCGCCGAAAAGGTTTTCATGTGCCTGGCACATGACATGCCATGCCTCCCACACATAGTCGACATTATTAGGATCGATGGAGCCATCATTCATGTGCAGGCAATTGATGCAGGAAGAAAGATCCGTTCTCTCGGTGCACTACTACTGCTGTACACAGCACATGCCTCCCACAAACAGGATAGACACACATGTAGATAGATGGAGAGATATCGTACAGCAGTAACAACAACAACAGCAGCCCCGGCTAGGCCGCTTCTGGTTACGAAACAGATAAAAGTTGAGGACGGATGCATACCGCATTATCATGCGCTGTTCACCCCGTGTTCAACAGTAATTCGGGAAGAAAGGACACATGATCGATGTACTGTATGTACAGAGATAGATGTAGATGGTCCGTTCTTCGGTGACTAGGAAAAGTAGCTGGCTAATCTAATTGATAGATCTCGGCCCCTCCCTGTGAACCCCTCCGTGTATACAGCACACGTCTCGCGCAGATAGGTAGGTAGATCGAAGATATGCAGAAGTAACAAGAACGAACGGCGACAGACCTGGCGAGGCTAATTTTTAGCGTCAACTTCACAAAAAGAATAAGAGTCGGGGATGGGTATGGATGCGGTGTGTTGCCGTGAAAACGGAAGAAGAAGCTTTCATCGGGAAGAAAACCCCATCCATCCATTTGGCATTCTTTGCAAATATTCTTCATCCCGTTGCTGCCGTGGCGCGGTCGGTCGGTCGGTCGGTCGGTCGGTCGGTCGAGTTAGGTTGAGTATTAGGTTGGGCAAGGTTGGGTTGGGATACGTTGGGTTGGGTAGGGTGGGTTTGGTCGGTCGGTTTGTCGGGGTGCGTTTTGGGGCGGGTTGGCGCGGGTTGGAGGTAGAGGGTGGGTTTGGTTCGTCGGTCGGACGGTCGGTCGGGTTGGCGTTAGGTTGTGTTTTGGGTTGGATTGGGTTGGATGAAGTATAGCGTAGGGTAGAGGGTCGGTCGGTCGGTCGGTCGGTCGGTCGGTCGGTCGGTCGGTCGGTCGGTCGGTCGGTCGGTCGGTCGGTCGGTCGGTCGGTTGGATTGGTGTTAGTTTCTGTGTTTTGTGCTGGGTTGTGGGTTGGGTAGCGTAGGGTAGCGTAGGGTAGCGTGGGGTAACGTAGGGCAGGGTCGGGGGTTGGGTTGGGTAGGGTAGGGTGGGTTTGCTCGGTCGATCGGTCGGTCGGTCGGTCGGTCGGTCGGTCGGTTGGGCTGGTGTTGGTATCTGTGTTTTGTGCTGGGTTGTGGGTTGGGTAGGGTAGGGTAACGTGGGGTTGGTGTTGGTTTCTGTGTTTTGTGTTGGGTTGTG